GGGGGGGGGGGGGGTGGGTTAGCAGCAAGCAGCGGGATGCGAAGCTGGTGGTAGCGGCACAGAGGTGCCACGGCCACTCCACCCGGCTCCGCGGGGCCCCACAAGGTGCAGGGCCCAGGACAGTTGCCCTGATTTGTGCCCCACCCCCTAGGGACAGCCCTGCTGATTAGCAATTTCAACCCATTTTAAAATTTTTAAATGAAAAAAAATTAAGTTTAGATGGCAAGAGTCAGATTTTTAAACCTTGAATTCCTACTGCCAGTGGATTGGATATAACATGATCACTTCTGGTCATCAGCAGATCTGACTGATATGAGGTACATCACTGTTTAAAATATGTGCCTATTGTGTTTATTCCCAGGAGCTACAGGCTTTAAAACCAAAATTTTATCACAATTTTATCACAAATTTTATACTGCCACATTAAACCACATGAGCATCGTTAGCTTTCAACATTCAAAATTCTTCTTCTTCAACAGCAAAGTTATTTTGCTTCTTCCGAACGTTCCAGTGTAAACACTCAGCCAGGCTTTCGAACCAGTCGCTCACAGGATCTCGGAAACAGATTGAAGGAAGGGGATAGCAAGAGGTAGTGATGCTAATACTGCAACACAGGAATACCCTCAATTAGTAAAGGAGTAACATTAAAAAAATGCAATAAAATTGTACTTTGGTATTTGTAAAATCAGGAAACCTTTTTTAATCCTTAGGTCTATAAGTATTTAAATCTTTGGGCAATGGTTAGCTTCTGAAATTTGTTGTTGGCCAAGTTGGGACACAGTACCTACATAATACAAGCAGGATGCCTTAGAAACATCAGTAGAGATACAATGCTATAGGTAAGAATTATTGTGAGCAGAGTCCACAGCCAGCCTGCCTTATCCCCCTATTTCTCTTTCCTGATCTAGAGAGCCTTGCACCCTTTGCTGGGGTTCACAAGACCACCTTTGGTTCAGCTCAAAAATATAATTACTACATGTCACCTTGATCCTTAAACCTCAAGTCCTAAAACCTAAAGGCAGCAAATAACGAAGTCCAACATCACTGCCAGCATCAATCTGATCAAATGTGCAGACTCCCAATGTGTCTTACTGCTCAACTGCAGGGAAAAAACAAACAAACCCCAAAGCGAAAGATCCTTGCATTGTCCTGTTCTTCATCTTCCCACAAATATGGAGCAGAAAAGCACAGTGATCAGACAGCAAAATGGATCTATAAGAATATAATAAACTATGCAACAGAAAGCTTGGGGTTTATCTGATCTCTTTCTTACTAATCCACATTTCTGTACTGGGAAAGAGGACAAGTCCTTTAAACTAGAGTTTCCCATCCCATGGGTCACAACCCAAAAGTGGGTTGCAAGAACATATGAAAGGGTTGCGAACAAACTTTAAAAATGGATTCTCCTTTAAAAGGCAAAAACCTGGGAAACCATGGCTTTTCCCTTGCAGGCCGGCAGAGTTCCAGCCTGCAAGGGGCTGCTTGGGGACCCCCATGGCCCACACTCCCTCCTACCCTGCCCCATACACTGGGGGGCAGTGGCAAAGGACAGTGGGTTGGGAGTGAGGTGCACCAGCAGGGCCAAGGGACTGTTTTCTACTTAAACTATTTCCTGGGTCGGGACTGGCCACTGATGTTTACAAATGGGTCCTGATAAAAAAAAAAAAAAAAAAAATATTGAGAACCACTGCTTTAAAGCACTGCACTGTGTCTCAGGAGCTGCAGACTCCTGCCACTGAATGTAATAAGGGCCCAAAGTATCTGCTATTATAAAAGCTCATCTGAACACAGGCAGAGTACCTTCATCTATGGCGGGGGGCATAGCACTCTTTTTTGGATCTCAAGTATAATAAGAATCCTTTGCAGCGGTGGGACACTGACAGCCCTCATCTTCCTGCTTTACCTGTGGCAAGTTATGGAGCTTTTGGTGCCTTTGGGCAATACGCCTCATAATTGTGCAGCAGGGTTGATTGTGTAGCTATAGGAATAAGTTAAAGGAAAACTTGTACGGGATGGCTTGGGTAGGGATGAACCTACTTCAAGAGGGGGTTGGATTAGATGACCTCAGGAGGCCTGTTCCAGCCCTACTTTTCTATGAAGACCCTTGCTCTTTTTTCTAGATTGGCTTTGCAATTTTATTCAATGGTATATGTGCCAAACAATGCCTTCTTGAGAGGTAATGAGCACAAGCTACTCCCATTGACTTCACCGTGTTCAACAGTCCCAAGATCTAGTCCAAGAGCTGAAGTTCACAGATTTCTTTAAGGGCAAGCCCTTTTTCTCTAAGTCCTATTTGGATGTCCTTTTCCCCACTGCCAACATTTCACCTGCTTTTATAAATGTGCCTATTTTTTTTTTCCAAGCAGGAGTATCCAAAACATTTTTGCTAACCTTGCCACTTACAAGCAATTATAACTTATAAAATATTCATTTCTGCTGCCACCACCAATACCTTACAGTCCTAGCCAACATGAGGGAAATTCAAAAGTGAGGCTGCACAACTCTCTCAATGCAAATCGCAACCAAAGAGAAATTCTCACCTGTCTCCATGGCAGATTTCCTGTCTCTTCCTCCCATCAAATGAAACCCAAGCTGTATTCCGGGCATCAGGGGACAGTGTAATCTAAGAAAGGACAAAACACAAGAATTAAAAATGCAGCTTTCCAAGCTGAAAGACAGAGAAAAGAACATATCTTTTTTTACTCTCCTGTATCTAGTGTACATAGAGATTTTATTTCCTCTACTGTCTTTTTCTGCTGAAAGTTTTACAGGATTGTGGACACAAGTTTAATATTATGCATAGTGCAAATATAATGGAGGCATACAGTTACATGCACAGCAAAGCCTTCCCTAACAATTCTAGTAAGGTTATTTACTATAAAGGCATTCCAGTTACAGAAGACTTGAACTTCATATAAGAGTTAACATATTGCCTAATTCAATGAGATCAGTAGTCTTAATTTTACTTCTGGGCAGACTTGTGATTGGCATTTTGAAATACAGACTTTGAACTTTGTAAGCTTTATGTAAAACTTTCAAATTGAAGAGGCTATAGTTAGATCTGGGTATTTGAGGAGTCAAAAGTACCTGGGTCAATTGACTGCTCAAATATTGTAAAAAGTGTCAAGTAATTTAAGGATTAATTTATTAGAACAGTGAGAGACTTTAATCTTCAATAAATTTGATATTTATGTTAATTACATAAAATTACATAAGTTATGTTAAAACACAAGATTGTTGACTGTTACTGTGAAACAATTAAACTAATTTATTACAAGTTTTTCAAATTTATTCTAACTAGCAACATGGGTTACATACAAGTGTGAATGAAATTCAACTGTTCTTTTTCTTGGCTTTTATCCTGGAATGTCAGGGTCAGCTCAAACAGTTACAAATTATAAGAAAAAAATGAAACTGAAACATACATAGAAACTATAAAGGTCACCTTTTCCACGCTGCTGGTTTTCATTCCCCCCCCCCCCCCCCCCCCCCC